TGTGCTTGGGTTTCAGTTATACAGTGATTGAGTACCCATCCCTCCACCAGTGGTGGGAGGGATACTGGGATTAGTGGTGGTGGAGAATGGGTACCTTAATTTTTATGTGTTTCAATAAATACACTTTTTAAAAAGTGCTGTGAAGGCCCAAAGAGAGAGTCAAGGGGTTGGGATATTTTGCTTTGGATGTAGCCAACCCCTGTTTGATCCCCAGCCCTGCCAGGGATTCGTCCGGAATTCTTCCGGACAAACACAGAGCCAGTGTTTGTCCAGGAACAGGGTTGAAAATTTCTCCTGGGTACAGAGCCAGGATTAGTTCCTCAGCATTTCTGGGTATAGCCTAAACCAACCCCCTCCCCAGAACAGTAAATCAAAGGTCTGCAAATCAGACATATTTTAAGACCAGGAAGCTTATTCTTTAACCTGTAAAATCTTTCATTGCTTTTGCTTGTTTTACATCTAGTGCCTCCGACAGTTTCACACACAGACCCTTTGAGTTTCTTTTTCAGCAGCAGTTGTCTGCACGTTGGTTAATGGACTTCTGCATTTCTCTGTTACTGGGCCCATAGAGATAATGATTCATCAAAAAGCAGGCACATTCTCCAACTTGCCTGCCTGCCTGCCTGCCTGCCTGCCTGCCTTCCTTCCTTCCTTCCTCCCTCCTTCCTTTCTTTCTTTCTTTCTTTCTCTTCTTTTTTTTAGTGTCAGACCTTCAAATCCACATATAATAAGAAGGTTTCAACATAATGATGATTTGAAGGAAAAGGATAGTTTGCTGTGCTGTTAAGCTTTTTAGGATGCCTTCATCAAGAGTATTAAGTCATCTGTCCTGGTGTCTTTTATTGGGATCAATGCTCAATTTCATGCCTGTATAATGATGAGGAAGAGAAGATGACAATAATAACAATGGTGAAAAAAAATTAAGAAAAGTTTTAAAAAAGTGTTAAAAATAAAAGAACAACCTAAGAGTATTTAGGAAGATAAGCATCAAGCTTAACTTGATAATTTCCATTGACCATTAATATGAGAGATAGGAAATACAAGATATCAGATATGAAAAATAAAATATTTTTCTGTTTCATTTCCAGTGACTTGACATACTTCCATCATCTCTTAATATACTTTGTGGCCATGGAAAAACTACCACATTTTGCCCTTTTTTTTCATTGCAAACCACTATGTTTTTTTGTTTTTTTCTTTATTGTTCTACATCACTTTATGAATTTGAACCCAATGTGGTTGATAAGAACCAATATGTTCTTTGCTCATGTTTCTATTGTCTATCTGTTGGAAACTAGCATTTATATACACAAAATCTTTCTAAGGCGGAATGAACTTAGCAATTTATGCCATGACTGGACATAATATTGGCAAAAAAATCAGAAAGAATTTCACACCAATATGAATTTTAAAATATATGTAGTAGATGTAAAGCACTGAGACTTGAGGTATATCCATTGAATAAATGTCAGTATTTAAGGTCCTTAATATTCTGGAGTTTCTTAGAAGTCAGTATAAATGATAGCAAAAGATTTTTTCTCTCTTCCCCCTCTTCCTCAAGTTGTACAGTTTATTTAACCTCAGAAATGTGTATCTAATCCACTGTTCTTTAGATTTTAATATTTTATATCATTTGATTCATCATTAGGCTCTAGATTTCTCTATTATTCTTTCCTTGTTCAAATCTGCCACCTGATAGACACGTGACAGAATATATGTTGTTGCACAAGGACATGATTCAATAAAGAGATAACATCTATAGACTGTATTTCAGAGTACCATAAACTAATGCACCCCTGACCCATATTTATGCTGAGAATGCCGGGGTAATAAGCAGGAAAAGGGCATGATCTAAAATAGCCTTTAAGGGGGAAATCCTTGAACTGAGATATTATATTTGGAGAGAGGGTAGTTTGGGTCATACCTGGCATGCTCCAGGCTAATTCCTGGCTTTATACTCAGAGTTCAGTCCTGGTGAGCTCAGGATACACTATGGGGTACCAGGAATCGAACCCAAGTCAGCCACATATAAGGCAAGTGCCCTGCCAGCTGTACTACTTTTCAGCCCTGAGACACTGTACTATTAATAGCAAAGCCAGTATGTAAGACATTTTTGAAACAATTGATATTTATCTTTGTAAAGAGATGTCACCTCTTGAATTCTCCTTGTTGCATACTGATTTGAAACTGAAACATTATTCATTTGTTTTGACTGATCATCTACTTAATGGGGTAGAATCAGTCATCAAAGCTTCAGAGAGGTGATGCATTATTTAGGTCCAAGATAGATTATGTAGATGCATACTGCATGTGTCCACACATATTAAGAACTTCCCAGTTGATACTTAGTTATCCCATGGTACAGTCTGTGCTTTTCAATTTAAGAAGGAAAAGGTGATCCCTAAAATAGCACTTTTGAAGACTTAGAAAGCATTCTTGCTGTCTAAAATATCTGTTGACTGTCTTCTAGCACCAGCAATCTGCTAAACATTCCCTAGTTTGCTCAATGCTCTTTATTATGTGGTAATAAAGATAGTATTTTTCATGGAGTTCCAAAGTACCTAATCTTTGCTTTATTTTCTAAACAAAGCTTACTGAGGTTTTACTATCATTCTTTCCTATTGACTTGATGTGGATTTTTTTCTCTCTTTTGCTTGATGTTTTCCTCTCAAAATTCTCTTTGGCAGTACTCTTATTTTTAATACTTTTTTTTCTGGCTTGTCTTAAGAAACGTTACCACTTCAAAAGTTCTGGCTCAGACGTTAAATAGGAACTTTACTTCTTATTCATTTTCATATAATACCTCCATCAGAGATTGACCAATTCTAAGATATTCACTTTGAACAAACTTGAATGCAGTTGTCAAAACATTTGCAGACTCTTAAACTGTATTGAATATTCTTTCACAGTAGAAAGAAGAACTTGAATATGGTTTACTTCTGTGGAGTGCAAAGAATAACTTGAACACCTCTTAAAGGTCATTTAGTATGTTGGGCATAACACTGTCATTTTTGGACTTTGCTGAAGACTTCCTTAGCTCATTTTGCCCTTATAATGTTTCAGTGAAAAAAGAAATATTTCACAGATCTTAAAAGTAAATTAGGGAGAGGTCAGTTAACATGGCCAAGAACACTCAACCACTTAGCATTTGCCAGAATTAGACTTTAGACCGAAGTTTCTACCATGACGTGTGATGTCCACCTTGTAATGAATCCCAACACACCTTGCCTTGCAGTAATAGGACAAGAAATCTTTCCACACGTAAACAGAGTCAGGATAGTGTTGGATGAGGAAGTAAGGCTAAGAGCTGAAAAACCCTGATTGCTCTGATTTCTTTATCTTAAAAAATATGACTAAAGGGACAGATTCCTAGGGTTCTTGTGAGGACAAAATAAGCTAAGCACTGAAAGATCTGAAATAGCTGTGAAGTGTTTAATAACTTTATATTAAAATTAAGTAGCACTGTAGCACTGTAGTCCCATTGTTCATCAATATGCTTGAGCAGGCACCAGTAATGTCTCCATTGTGAAACTTGTTGTTAATGTTTTTTGGCACTTCGAATATGCAACGTAGAGTTTTGCCAGACTTTGCTGTGTGGGTGGGATACTCTCAGTAGCTTGCTGGGCTCTTTGAGAGAGACAGAAGAATCCAACCCGGGTTGGCCGCATGCAAGGCAAATGCCCTACCTGCTGTTCTATCACTCTAGACCATTAAAATTAAGTAAAAAAAAATTATTGAAATTGTTGGGCATGCATGGGCCTATATAAAGAGAAAGAAGAGAATGATTCTAATTCACTCATCAGGGAAGCTTCGGCGGAGCTGAGGCCCTCTTTGTTCCTGGGTGTGTGTTGTCCTGGCAAGCTTCCATGTGTCCTCACCTCACTCCCTGATACTCTCCATATTCCTGGGCAGGGAAAGCACCAGACATGCTCCCATGAACCCAGACAATGCCAGTTGTGTGAGATCAAAGATACCAAGAGAAAAGAAAGTGTAGACAGATGGGCTTCCCCCAAATTACCAGGTCATTTCTTTCTCTCCCACCATTCCTATTATCTGTGACTCTTGAAAACTTATTATTGAAATAGCTTATTAGCATGGGAAGGACACTTTATTTAGTTTACTTTTTTTCACTATCTTGGGAGGCCTTTAGTGGGGTGGATCAGCTTGTGATTTTGCCTTGCACGCTGCTGACCCGGGTTCGATTTCTTCATTCCTCTTGGAGATCCCGGCAAGCTACTGAGAGTATCCCGCACGTATGGCAGAGCCTGGAAAGCTCCCCATGGTGTATTTGATATGCCAAAAACAGTAACAACAAGTCTCACAATGGAGACATTACTGGGGCCTACTCTAGCAAATCAATGAACAATGGGAGGACAATGCAATGCAGTGTTAAATACCTGCACTGGGCAAAAGCTTCTGAATGGGTTTCTCCACCTTTTAATGACTATCACCTCTCTCTGACCTTGTTTTCTGTCTGTAACACTGCACCCCTAGACCCCATCCTATTAAACTAGTCTCATTTATTCACTTTTCGCCTGCAGTCCCTTTGGAATATTCTGGGCATCCTCAGGGTCCATATGGCCCCAGTTGAGAAATGCTTGGTTTTCATTGTTATTATTAGTGGTAGGTTTATTATCATTATTATATAAACATACTATTATTAATTGTTTATTAAATCAGTGATCTATTTTCCTCCCAGTCCATCCTGATGCCTCAGCCCAATGGCTATTTTTAGCACAAAATGGTGTAGTTAATACAACCACCAGCAGCCGTACTTCTCCCCCTGTAGATAACCCAGAGCACATCTTCCACTGAAAGTCATAAGTGGGAAGAGAAAACCCCTTTTCTCCTTGTCACTAAGGAAGTTCCTTTTCCAGACCTGCAACCTGAGAATCGAAGGGTAGCTTTTACTCCAGTACCAACTATAGGTTTTCCCTTTTGGACTCAGGCTTTGAGTGGTTATACCTCTGCACAGTTGACCATCATCTATGTTCTATTAGGCAACTGTTTGCTGGACCTCCCACGGAAGCAGATTCTGGGTCCTGAAGAACTTCCTGGCCAAACCTATGATGCCACCCAGCAGTGCAACCTGACCTTCGGCCCCGAGTACTCCGTGTGCCCTGGCATGGACGTGTGTGCCCGTCTCTGGTGTGCTGTGGTGCGCCAGGGTCAGATGGTGTGTCTGACCAAGAAGCTGCCTGCCGTAGAGGGGACACCCTGCGGGAAAGGGAGGATTTGCCTGCAGGGCAAGTGTGTGGACAAAACCAAGAAAAAATATTATTCAGTGAGTTCTTTTCTTATCCTACCTTGTCTAGAGACCTGTGATATTAAATGCATTTTTATGACATTGTTGTGGGGTTGAGTGGGATTACTGCACTCAGATGGTTTCATTGCCTAGTCAGAATAATTTCCCCTTGTAAATCTCTTTAGATATTTCTTTACAGGTTCCTCCTTGACCCACAGATACCAATCTGTGTCATCTGTTAATGGAGAAAGTGCATATCATAGATATCCTTCCTGTGTTTGGTCCTTTAAAAAGTAGATAGCCCAGATTCTACCTTCTGGAGATCCTCAGTGGAAACCTTCCTTCTCCCATCTAAAACCCAGTGACTTCGAGAAAATTACTTTCAAATTTTCTGAAATTAAGCTTTCAAAAATCATTTATTTAGATTTTGAAAAAAAGCTAGTAGTAGAATAATTGGCCTGTAGTCCTTTTACAACATGGGTGAACATCAAGTGACCATCTATTCTCTTCTCCCCCTGGCAAGTTCATCTAACTTCAGGAGCTAAAGTAACTCATGTCTAGACCAGGAATACCCTTCCTGTCTTTCCATAACTCTCCTATCTTCCAAGCAGCAACCATCACCTTCATTTTCAAGACCCAAGTCCCTAAAAAACAAGGTGGATTCATGCTGCTCCTAGTATCTCTCAGAATGATCACACAACTGTTTCTTTTCAACTAACCCCACTGGGTAGCAAGGGAGGCTCTTCACTCATTCCCTTGGCAGAGGAGTTTATGGTATTCTTTGGGAGTCCCCCAGCTCCATGTTGCAGCCCTGCTAGGATTCTCCATGAGTTCTCTCTGCACACTTTGATATCTGTCCCACTTCTCCATGGAATGACTCAAGTGTGAATAGCAATTAAGTCAAGTCCAGGTCAAGTGCATTTGTATCTATCACAGAGGTTCTGTCTTAGACAGATGGGGATGTCAAAACACAGACTGAAACTCAGCAGGTGAAGGGGGAAAGAACAATGCGAGCCTAATCAATGCCTAGAATATGCAGCACCTTTAAGCAATGATCAACATGCTTTATTAGATATTCATGATAAGAATGAAAATGTAAGCATGATTCAATGGTTATTGGTACAAGAGTGTATCTTCAGAAGGCCCATAAAAAACAATATTGGCAGAATACTCAATACTTAGAATGAGCCATCAGGATGGCTGGGGTGGAGAGAGAGGGGGAAACAATTGAATTGCTTAGAATTAGAAATGAATGGCAGGTCGAAAGAGATAATACAACAAATAAGACACTTGCCTTACATGCACCTGACCCAGGTTGGATCTTTAATGCCACACATTGTGCCCTGAGCCCCACCAGGAGTGATACCTAAACACAAAATGGGAGTACACACCACACATAACCAGGTATGACCCAACACTCCCCAGCTCCCCCAAAAGAACTGTGGTTCCATAACATCCAACAGTGACCACTCGATTATTTTTGTGATGGAATCTCCACCATAGATTTGAATGCAAAGTACTATCAAATAGACCTTTTGAACATTTGAGATGTTTGCCTGTGCCTTGAGTTTCAATATCTTCTTCTTTGTATTTCAGACATCGAGTCACGGTAACTGGGGTTCCTGGGGATCATGGGGTCAGTGCTCTCGCTCGTGTGGAGGAGGAGTCCAGTTTGCCTATCGCCACTGTAATAACCCAGCCCCCAGGAACAGTGGGCGCTACTGCACAGGAAAGAGGGCCATCTACCGGTCCTGCAGTGTCGTTCCCTGCCCGCCTACCGGTAGGCTACACCCCCGTGTTGGCCACCACTGTGGATTATGTATCGTTCTCTGTCTTGTAGATATTAATAGAGAAGGTTGGAGAAATAGCCTGTTAATATGACTGCATTTTGCAGTTTAGTGTATAAACAAATGACTGAGTGATGTTGATAGTTAAAAGTAATTGATATTCAGGGAGTCAGAAGAAAATAAATACTGCTTTCACTAGGCCAGAGTGATAGTACAGCAGGTAGGGTGTTCAATCTTCAGCATCCCATACAGTCTCTGGAGCTTGTCAGGAGTGATTCTGAGCACAGAGCAAGGAGTAAACCCAGAGCATCAACGGGTATGACTCAAAAACCTAAAAATACATAAGTAAATAAATAGATAGAAAATTCCAGAGCCTTGGGAGCGCCAAGCTAGGAACTATAAATAAATACCAAATATGTCTGAGCAAAAAACTTTTGTGGCCAACTGAATGATCAAAATATGTAAAAAGCCTAATACTACAGTGATATTTATTCTATGCATGTATCAAGTGAATGCCACCCAGTACCTTTTAAGTTTGTTCAAGTATTTTTAATGGTCAATTTAAAGCAGATTCATGCATGGGAAATTCACAAACCTAGAAATCAATTTCTTTCATTAAAAGATCATTTAAATTTAACTTTACAAGATATATTGCCGGTACTGTCTACTAAAATTAATATTTTGAAAATTGTTTTCCTCCTATTGGAAAATAAAAAGCTACTAAGTTTCCTAAAAAGAAATAAAAGAAAAGAAATGCTGTTTTTCACTCATAGAGAAGAAATTTCTGAACATTGCAAACTTAGTAGGCAAAAAGAAATCTTACAGAGTCAGAGAGATCATACAAGGGTTAAGGTTATAGTTAGTGGCCACCCCCAATTTAATTTCTAGCAACTTATGTGGTCCTCCAAGTACCTCCAGGCGTGATTTCTGAGCACAGAGCCATGAAAAGTTCTAGGTGCTGCTGGGTGTGCTCCCAAACCAAGAAATAATTAAGATTAAAAAATCCTAAAGTTAACTCTAAATACTAAATAGTCTATAGAGATAGTAAGACAATAGGCAAAGATACTTGTCTTACCTGTGATCCATTCAGTTCAATCCCTGGCACCCCATATTTTCCCATGAGTCCTACCAGAGGTGAACCCTGAGCACTGAGCTAGGGGAAGCTCTGAGCAATACCAGGGGTGCCCCCCCCCAAACCAAAATGAAAAAATAAGTAAATGAATAGAGCCAATGAGATAATACAGCAGGTAGAGGCTCTGCCTTGCAAAGAGCCAAACAGTTCAATTCCCAGTATCCTATACGGTCTTCCAAACCCCACCACAATTGATCCCTGAGTGCAGCTCCAGGAGTAAGCCCTGGCCATCATTGAGTGTGGCCCTAAAGCCAAAACACAAAAAGGAAATGAGTAAATAATTATCTAGATTAAGATTCTATTTAAGTTTTAGAACAGATCTTCTAACAAGGGATCCTGTTTGTTTTCTAGGTAAATCATTTCGCCAGGAGCAATGTGAAGCTAAAAATGGCTATCAGTCTGATACAAAAGGAGTGAAAACCTTTGTAGAATGGGTCCCAAAATATGCGGGCGTCCTGCCGGCAGATGTGTGCAAACTAACCTGCAGAGCCAAGGGGACCGGTTACTATGTGGTCTTCTCCCCCAAGGTAACTGCAAAGCCTGTGGAAATCGTATTTTGTCCCATGAAGTTTGTGGCTACTGAGCATAAATACTCATTATTTAGGGAATGTTTGGCTATGGCAGGATTTTATTTTCAACTCTGTTATTTCTACACTTGCAAACTTTTCAAACAAAATTCATTTTGTAAATAGAAGCAGTAAATGGTTTCAAAGCTATTTTTGAAAAGTGTAGCTGTCATGAAAAGTGGAGCACAATTTTAACTTCAAAACGGCTGTGAAACCATGAGCATTTCCTAGGCCCGTTTGTGAAAGGAACTATAAAGCAAAATATTTTTTATTTTTATTTAACAAAACTTTGGGTGATTCAGAAAAAAAAGGTCTCTTTCAAAAAACATCTCTGGTTCAGACTTTTAAATACACCACTAAAATGAATCAATGTCATTCTACTTATTCTACACATTATAATACATTTTTATGAAATTACTCTTTTTTTCTACAGAAGGATGTTTAGTAAACTGTTTCAGTTTTATTTATCAAAGTGTTATATATAGTCATTATAAATACTATCTAGCAAATCTGCAAATGAGTGCAACCTTGAAAACTATAGGCCCAGAGAGTGTAGTGATTAGGGACTTGCCTTGAATGAGCGGACTCCAATTTCATCCCTGGCATCAGATATGGTCCCTCAAGCACCAATAGGCGAGATCTCTGACCATTCAGCTAGTAGTAAGTTCTGAGCATCACTGAATGTGGCACATTCACCCCCCCCCACAAATAAATAAATTAAATTACCCCTGAAATTGCATTTAAGACACGGCAACATATTACTGAAAAATAAGCTAGTGTCTGGCTTAGATAAACTTTGAAATGGTTTGTCTGTTTTATTTTTGGAGTACATCCTGCAGTGCTCAGGGCTCACTCCTGATTCTGTGCTCAGGGATGACTTTTGACAGTGCTGTAGGGATCCTTTTGTGTGTTGGGGATCAAATTTGGGTCAGCCAAGTACAAGGCAAGCACTCTACCTGCTGAACTTTCTCTCCAGTCCCTGAAATATTTTCTTTTCTTAATTGCAACATGCTACATTTCAGATTTTCAATACTGTATAAAAATTAAAATAGCTGCAAATACAACCATCTAAAGAATCCTTAACTCAGTGATGTATATAACCTACTTAACACATGCACAATTCACATATACTCATAGAAGAAAAATTGATGCAAAATGTGTTACTTATATACGTATATAATTACACACATTACCCGTACATACCTATAACAAGTTACAGACAGTCCATATACATACTTGTTTATAATTAGCTTTTAAATAGCTACTAAACCCTTTATTCAAATTATATTCAGTCTTATCCACTACGTACATTTCACTGACTGCACCAGATTCTATTTTCTTCAACTAATTTTTCTTATCTATACATTGAGCAGTTCAGCGCATAGAAGGGAATGCTTTCCTTCTGTGACAGGATTTTGCACATAGTTTCATAGTTTCCAATGCTTATTATAATAAACATTAGGCAGCCAAAAAAGGATCTCTGCATCCTTGAGCTTGCAAACACTCCAGGTTCCATGCAAGTCACAACTCCATGCACTAAAAAATCTTGTATTTATCACTGTAAAATACCAGACAATACCATGAGAATATGTTAAGCATGCAGTAACAAAGATGAATATTTTAGGATCCCTGACCCATTGGAAGTACATAATTCCCAGCTGTCATACTTTTTTTTCCTGCCTCTATCGGAAGGATTTTGTTGTTGTTAGAAATACCTGTAATTGATGGCAATGGCTTGATTGTTGATTTCTCTTTGTACAGTCTCTTCCAGTCAAACTCAAACAGATCATAACTTGTCTTTTCACCAAGAAACAAAAAACAAACAAAAATCCTCTAATACTCTAGGCATAAGGATTTCCTTCTCCTGATCTGTCTTTCCCTGTCCAGGTGACGGATGGAACTGAGTGTAGGCCATACAGTAATTCTGTCTGCGTGCGGGGAAAGTGTGTGCGAACTGGCTGTGATGGTATCATCGGGTCCAAGCTGCAGTATGACAAGTGTGGGATATGTGGAGGAGACAACTCCAGCTGTACAAAGGTTGTAGGCACCTTCAATAAGAAAAGGTAACATGAAAGTACATTTGTCTTATATGAATTGTACAAAGTCTTACGTTTGAAAATGGATATGTTCCATCATAAGCTCTCTGTAAGCAGAGGATTTGCATGGATCTAGCAAGCCCATTTGAGAAGGGAAGGGGAGGAGTGATAAAGGTTCTGAATGACTGAGGAAATTTTTGGCACCTCTGAAAGCAGGTAAACTGTACTATTTATAGGACCAAGGTTTGCAGGGTGCCAAAATGGAAAAGCAAAAACCTTCCACTTTAAAGATAACTCGCAGATCTGTGATTCATCAAGCACAATTTTAGAAAATATGAGTAGATTCTATCAACTATTCCACCTTAACTTCTTAAAAAAATTCTTTTGTAAGATCTATTGTTCTAGGGGTAAAAATACTTCTTGTTGCAAAAATGATAAGTTTGGGGTTTGCAGGTTGGTATGTACAAACTATTTTATAGTGGATGTTCCTGGTTTGTTCAGTCACTTCAGATCAACTATTCAGCAGACAAAAGGCTTCTTCTTGCCTCTTCAATTCAGAAGAAGTCTTTGAAACACAGCAAGATTTTCAGTGTCTAATTGTCTATTACCTCTAAGAGTAAGAATTTGAGGGTAAATATTTCATACATATCCATCAGCCTGCACTGGCCACTTCCATATTTCTTGTGGAAATAAGTTGGAAAGTATATCTGAGCAGGGCGTATTATAAAATTACTGATAGAGGCAATTTTGGATAGAAAATTTTCCTTTTCCCCTCATCTAGTCCCTTGATGTTTAATTGGTATTTCCATCCTAGCATTTTTGGAGAGCCTTCAGATATAGTACCTATTTCTGCCTTTTCTTATTTTTTTTCCCTGAACAGATAATGGATCACCAGAGCCTATTTGTCACTCTCCATAAAGCCTTTCTTAGTCCATCATGGTACTTCACAGACATATTTCCAAAATTTTGCTACAATGCTAGAAACTTCTTTATATTTTTTGATTGTTGAGGACACTAGTCATTTGGGACTACACACTTCTAGAATTTGCTCTTCATTTTATGTTCTTCCCAGGATAAAAAAAAAACATAAATCCTGGTCAAAATGGAAAGAGCCTTACTTTATAGTCCAATAAAGAATGAAATCTGTGTTTTCCCAACTAGTCTGTCCACTGAAACCACATGGGGAGCTCCATAGAATAGTTATATATGCATTAACCTGAAAGGTGGGACACTTGATTCACCTCAAGTCTGGAGATTCAAGTTTTTAGAAAGTCATCACCATGTAATTCTTGGGTAAAAGAAGTTTGAGAAACCTTACAAGTTTTATTGAGGGAAAGCTTTTATTACTCTGCATTTATGCTAAGATCCTATTTTGTGCCAGAAAGAACACCAAGTAGCTTTGTAAAGATGGCAGGATTTAAGCCAATTGGTAATCTGTCAAGTCAGTATAAACTCAGGTAGGTGGTCAACAGCATTCTCATTTTTGAACATCATCATAAAGAATATGTTCACAGCAACCTAGTGGAGATTTTATTTTATGAGAAAATTAATTTTTATATCAATTTTAAACAGATCTACTCAATACATCCAAATATTTTGTTAAGAAACTTTTATTTAAATGCTGTAGGTTTAACAATTTTTATGTTTATAATTTTTTTCTTTGCTCCCCGCCCTCCTGCTTTATTCTTCCTTCCACCCTTTACCTTCCACTGAATATTTCTGCTTCCAGCAAGGGTTATACTGATGTTGTAAGGATTCCAGAAGGTGCAACCCATATAAAAGTTCGACAATTCAAAGCCAAAGACCAGACTCGATTCTCTGCCTACTTGGCCTTGAAGAAGAAGAATGGTGAGTACCTGATCAATGGGAAGTACATGATCTCCACTTCTGAAACAATCATCGACATCAATGGTACCGTCATGAACTACAGCGGTTGGAGCCACCGGGATGACTTTCTGCATGGGATGGGCTATGCAGCCACCAGGGAAATCCTGATTGTGCAGATTCTTGCCACAGATCCTTCTAAAGCATTAGACGTCCGTTATAGTTTTTTTGTTCCCAAGAAATACACTCAAAAAATAAACTCTGTCACAGTTCATGGAGGCAATAAAGTGGGATCACATGCTCCCCAACTGCAGTGGGTGACGGGGCCATGGCTGGCCTGTTCGAGGACCTGTGACACAGGCTGGCACACCAGGACAGTGCAGTGCCAGGATGGGAACCGGAAGTTAGCCAAGGGATGTCTTCTCGCCCAGAGGCCTTCTGCGTTTAAGCAGTGTTTGCTAAAGAAGTGTTAGCCAGTGGCTCGGATCTTACCCATAGGGATAACAAATGGATCAGTCATGGTGACAAAGAGGTCTGCCTAAAGCACAGAAAGTCACGTACCACCGTCATTGTCAAAGGGAACGCAAGTCGGGCCAAAGTCTGCTCCTGGTGACCAAACGGAGCAGCGTGATTATTTCCTGGACAAAGGTGACCTTGGATGTAGACAAACTTGGAAGTTATTGAACATCCCCCATCTGACCAGAATGAAAAGACACCGATGAATGTAGAATCAGGGGACATTTGAAGATGGCAGTGCACTCTCCCCTTGTCATCTACCTCTCAAAGAATGTCTTCAAAGGCATTATAGTTGTTTTCACCCATAATACATGGTAGCTTATTTTTACTGTTTGTAGATATGTTCTTTCCTTGGTATGTCACTTTATATCACTCAGTTCTATTAAAATTATATATAGAGAGATTATAGATATATATATTTCTATTAAAAAAGAAAGTGGTTGACCAAAGTAGGTCTGCAGCTATTTCAACTTCTTCCAGTTTCCAGAAAGAGCTGTGGATGTTTTACTGGAGATTAACAACTTGCTGCTCTTTCCCTGAGCTAGAGTGTATTTTCAGGCTATAGGAGATTTTAATCAGAAACTTTTAAAAGCAAGCATCTTCTGCGAAATTCTGCAAAGGAAAAAGACTGCAGTATATCAAGTCATTAAAGAGCCTGAATGGATCCATTTACTTAAACCTTTGAGTATACTTTTCTTCAGGCAGACAGTCATATTAATGCAGATGTAGGATGTAAAGGTAGCATGGGGCTTGTGTACATCATTGGTATTCAAGAGTCTACAAATCAGTGTCCTTACTTTCAAACCGTATTTCACAACAAAAATAAAATTGTTTTTTTTCTTATTTTTCCTTAGTGTAAGAATTTAAAAGGGAAAAAAAAGACATTTCCTATTTTCTAGTTCTATTTTCACAACTGCTTTCCCTTTCTATGGCTCAGTTCTGATATCTCGTACCATGTCATATTAACACAAAAACACAAATAAGTTTCCATCATTGAACACATTCAACATTGGTATACCTCTTACCAGCAAGCCTCCAAAATGTATTTGTTTTTGCTTGATTGTTTTGTTCAAGACAGCTATAAAACCTACAATATTTTGTACTTTTTATTGTCTAAGTAGAATAGGAATATGGAAGGTCAGTTGGAGGTTAGCCATATCTTCAGTGGCTGTCATTAATATAAAAAATGAAGCAGGGTTCGTAATCATAAGACTTGTTTCCACACCATAGGCAATAATTCCTTGCATTACACAAATGTTAAGTATATAATATGCTTCAGAGTTTTTCCGTATCAACATTTGGTTATACTAGCAGTGCTTAAGTGGTGAAATGTGATCATTTTTGTGATTTTTGTTCATTTTCTCCTCAGAGCCTAGCTAGGTAAGTTTGTAGGTTCAAATAGTAACACATGGAAAAAAATTACAATCGTGCATAAAAACAGTTAAACTGCAGAATTTGAGAGCTAGTGCATGTTTAAGACTTATGCCTTGTATGTGGCTGAACTGGTTTGATCCCCGGTATCAGGTTATCCTAGCATCATTGACTAAAACCCTAGAGACCACAAACACCCCCGAGGTGACCTGGGTAATTCCTAGGAGCACAAGGCCCAGAGAATTAGGGAATCTGTGGGTTCTCACACCGAGCCCTGGCCAGTTGGGTTAGGAATCACCAGGAGGGCACTCCCAAGTTTCTAGAGCACCCCTTGAAACAAAAAACAAAGAAACAAAAGTATAACTACATCCACCTGCCCCACACATCAGAATATATAAAATTTGTCACTTCATTAAGGTATGTTTTTATTTGTGAAATATTTAAAAGCCAGTAGCTTTTCTGAATATATATATATTGGTCATATTAAATGGGTTTATTGTTGAAGATTTGCAAATAAGGATGTTAAGAAGCCATTGTTTGAATTCCCTTAAACTCACGAGTTTATATTTATTTTAAGAAACTTTAGCATAAAAGAATTACATCTTGCTCTTATCACATTTATTTTAGTGGGTCAAGAGAGTAAATATCTCACAGTGCAAAGTACTAAGAAATTATTTGGTAAAAGAACTATTTTACAAAACTGATACTCATCTATTATTTTTTTCCCACAGATTAGTCTTGCTTTAGATATTGTCATTTTTTTTCAGTAAATTATCAAGTAGAGGAATGAGGTATATACAATATAGCAACCTCCATTTATTTATTAGAGATCACAAGGTATCTGGGATAGCAAATAAAGCTAGTTGAATCAGTCAATAAATTTATTAAAAAGCATACTATTATCATACTATCATTAATTTTTTGGAAATGTGAGAATAAGTTTAATGAAGAAACTTAACTCAGAAATTTAAGTATACCCTTTATAATTATGTTGACAACAATTAAAACATAGTTGAAGGGCATACATAATAATCTTATAATCTGCTTCTCTATATTTTGTATTCATAGATTTTAGCATGACTTTTTAAAAAATAACATATTTCTCAAAGCCAATAGAAAAGTTTTATGTTTCTCACTAAAGCAGTCTTAGAAAGCTTAGAGCAAATAGACCAATATTTTATGTTCTAAAAAACTTTTCTCTAGGTCACATTTTTATGAATATTGACTTACTAGCGTATGTATGTATGTCTAACTAAAAAAAAAATAGAGTGGAAAAAGAAAGTTAAAAAAAGAGTAGTCAATCAATATAAAAATTGATGAATAATGGGGAAGTATTATTGAATTCAATATAATTTGACTTGGGGCTATGCTTTTTATGTTTATCTTGAATAAAAGGAGTCTAGAATTTGGGATGTTAGGGATTATATCCTTTCAAAAAAATGTCTGAAAATGCTCAGGTTAATAAGAATCTAAATCTAAGTTACAGAACTAAGAAGAACTCCAGATTGAGTCTAAATGCAAACGCATAGTCCATTAGGAATAATATTTTTCCTTCTAGAACAGAAAAGGTCAAATTAAGTCCCACTTTGTTGCTGAGTGGCATATAAGGGCCTTGTTTTAATTTAAATTCAATAAATTCAACTTCATTTGCCTTCCTGTGGAAACAGTTTTATCCCATTAACTAAGAATTAAGGGATTAATTGCAAACAAAAACAAAAAAGTTGCAGCACTGAAAAAAAGAAGTAATTTATTGTATTTTTGCAACTGGTATGTGAATTTGTGTGATAAAATTATTTATTCTTATTTAACAAAAATATGTGCAAATTCTTTTCTATTTAAATGTTTTGCTGTTGTCCTACTTTTTAATTTATGCTTCATGTTTGTGTATAAAGTACACTTTGTGAGTTTACATAATATTCAGCACTGGTTGCTTTTGTGTTTTTTGCAGAAAATTTTGTGTAAAACAGGTGTACATGTATATAGCCTTCATGTATTTTTATTCTGATGCTATATTTCCCTTCAGAGTATGTTTTAAATTTAATATTTTATGTTAGTGTTTGGTTCTTGCAGTTAAGGTGTTTTAAGTTCCATGAATTTTAAGAAAAATTTTATTCAAGTAAATAAGGTCCAGGTTTTAAATTTGTGTTTATAAATCACTTAGAGCTTTACTGAGAACCTAAGACATGATAAAATAATTAGGTCATTCACTTCACTGGCCAAGAAACTGTTGGTATTTGTATAAGCTGTATATGAAATATATCCAGCTTTCATCTGATATACTGAAGTTGTCATAAATTGTATCAGTATAGTAATAACACCAAACATAGTCTTTTGCTGCTTTAGAAACACTCCTTAAAATTAGTATCCCTTAATACTTAATGTTTCCAGAAGCTTATAGAAGGTCAAAAATTTGTGTTTAAATTAGTCAAATGTTAGTAGTTATAATACTTTTTTCAAATATGAATTACTTTAGATAAGGTATGGTCTTAAAAAAAATCTTAAAACTGGTGATTATTACTCTCTGGGTATGAATAGAACTGGGGTGGCCAGCTGGGGCACCTCTGATAGACTTGCCTTGCATCTGGCTGTGATTTCACAGACTGCTAACATCAATAAGACAAAGAACCCAAAAAGGCACTGTTGACAAATACATACTCTGGTTTTGATGTTTCTGTTGATTCTGCTTATTAACAAGGTCATTATCGTGGTTCAAGGGAAGATAGCACCCAGATTTGAGTCCTGGGTTATGCTTTGACTCACATACAAATTGTGAAATTACAGAATTTAAGTCACCAAATTGTTGCCAATAGTTTATGGCTGAGTTTGCTATCTCAGTGGCAGTATTAGTGAATATGACTAATATTTCTGGAACTAAATGAGATTATATGTTATACTTTTGAAAATTTGAAAACAGCAAAGTAAATTAACAATGGCCACAGTAATAGTAATCCAAAACTATAATAGAACCAAGTGCAAGGTCAAGAGGTTGTATCATTAAGCACTTAAAAAAGTATATATGTTTTCAATATATATGTTTTTCTTTGCCAATAATCTGTAGTTTTAGATTGTCAAGTATTTAACTCACTAGACCACTGGAGGGTAGAGGGGGAAAAGTTTTATGAATAACCCCACTATAAGAACTAAAAAACGATGATTTCTCCAGTTATGTCATCATGAAACATTTGTCTATAATTTATAATTCTGTTCTATTTAGTTACTATATGGAGGTTTATTGGGATGCTAACTCATACATTAGTCAGCCCCCAAAGGGACTGTACATGGTGCTCAGATCAGAAAAGTATTCAATCTGGCAAATTTCTTTCTGGTGCGATGATAGTATAATATTCAACGCAGATCTTGTGGAAAAAATAAGAGACTGTTGTTAAAGGATACTGCTTTCAAAAGAGACTGGAGCTTAATTGTACATATTACTTGGCTCAATTAATTGCGTCTTATGAAATACTAGCATGCTGGCACTAGGTTTATTCTCTGTGGTCCTTATTCCGTAGCTCTACTAACTTGTCCATGAAGACTGCAATAGGTCAGATGAAAATAAATCAATAAGATTCATCATCCTACAGAGCACTGCCACACCAGAATGACCCAAAGTCTGACACTGTAAGGAAAACTGTGATTTGTAAATAAAAAAGGGCATTTTTCTCCCCATTTCCTTTGGCACAATCAATGAAGTTACATTTTTACCAAGGTGCTAATATCTTCAATGATCAAATGTGGCATTTCAGAGTTACTGTTTTATTTGTCATGATTTTTCAGTTAGCAAGAAAGATCTACATTTTTCTTCAAGGCTGAGTGCACCTCTACACTCAGTTTGTCAAATAGCATCTAATGGACTTTCTGATCAGCAGTGTTCAGTGACAAGCTGTACGGACATCAAAGATGTTTAATGTGACACCAAGACTTGAACTATATTAGCCTCAAATTGCACACTCTTAGATGAGTCATTATTCATCACTTAGTAAGCCATTAACATTTGTTCCAAATCTTCCTTGCAAACAATTATTTTATTTCATATACACAAACTTTTGTGTATACTTGGCCTGGTTTTAAAGCTTTGCAATGTTTCAGTTCCCTAAAAAACACATGGATACAAGTATCTTGGTCTTTTCTTTAACAATTCATAACATGTTATAAATACTTAATATTGAGAGTCTACACAAGACTAGAAAATCATACAACATGAGTTAATGAAGCTAGACTTTTGATTATGAGATGTACATTGTCTCCAAGGTATATTGGCATTGCACACTCAGGTAGGAGTTGACAAATACTGCTTACATTTTCGGTTGAAATGTTAGCCAGAGGAAATCATGTGCATCCTTTGTAAATAGATTGTAGATAATGGAACAGATTTAGGAAAACTCAATTTGTTGTAAGCAGCGATACAAGCCTTTGATTTCCATATTAAAGTCAGTTTGTAAAGTCAGGTAATAAACCTATGTCAATATAATTGAGATCTTTAAAATGTGCTATGAAGGCAGAGTAAAATATTCAAAATTTACATGCTATCTGTAAGTGGAAAATTGCTTGCTACAATTTCAAGAATGATAGCATTTTTCAGTCAGTAGAATGTCATTGAAAATACAAAAAATCTTG